AGAGAGAGAGAGAGAGGAAACATATAAAATTAGCTAGCCATTCAATTGAATAATAGGCTTGGCAACATAGATTCAATTTGGGTAAATCAAAAGATTTGTAATTGTAGACACCCTATACCCAATAGAAGGGATTCCAAGATACTAAAGGCCCTGGTACTGTCGGGACGTTGAACTAGTTACCTCCCTAAACCATGTGGCTTTAGATCCACCTAGTACCTTAGAAACCAACCCGTATGCAGCTTTGATACCCATAACCCTGAAAACCAGCACCTGAAATCCCAAGCCCTATAGACCCTCCCCATATTTGCGTTTTAGGTCTAGAAGTAGAGGTTGTAAGCTTTCAAACAATTCAAGAATTACTCAAATACAATTCATAGTTTAGAAGTTATGGCCTGAGAGAGTTTGGTTGTGTTGGTAAACATTGAATACCACCAAATATCTGTATTAAGTGTTGGTAACATGTGCGCTCTAGAACATTGTTTTCAATAAATATTGAAACACATTGCACCTGTCAAAACGATTAAACTTCAGCGGAAGCACTATTAACACAATTTTGAAATAATTGCATACCGCAAGAGATCAATGTTAGAGGTACCAACCCGGGCGTTACTGGCTATAGCTCAGAAGATCAATGGTCCTGATTGAAAGAAAATTTTCTGGCAGTGTTGAAGGAGCAATTTCTTATACATAGGAACATTTGCCTTGAGTTTTAGGACCCTTAGGTGAAACTCTGCCGCACCTGACACTCCCCTTTGAACTCTTAGAGACCCTGAACTCATATCTTAACCCAAGTATCCTCAAGACCCTAATGTCAATGCTCTCTAAAAGCTAAACTCCTCCTAAGAACCTAGTCCATATTTAGCCATAATTCTATATCGCTTAGACCCAACACTAATGCAAACTATCCCACCCGGCCGATTCTAGAGAATTGGAAGAAGTCGATGCGCTAAATTCAATCTTTATCTGCAACCGAGTCCACAAGAGAGCTGTCCTCAGATCGATCTCTCTCGTAGACCGTAATTCGATGGATTGCCTTAAACTACCTCGGAGTGACCAATTAATTTCAAGGTCAAGGTCGGAAGGTCGGAGTGTCGTTTGCCTCAAAATCAGGCATAAACAATAATCTTTTATAAATCCTTTTAAGCTGAATTTTGGGTAGATTTTTTACAGAAAAAAATAGCAAAATATTATATTGAAGAATAAAATGAAAAAAATGCCTCTACTCTGTTGGTGAACTTGGGTAATCCAAATTAATTTATCTGGGTAATCTGGGCTTTATTGTAGCAGAGGCTGGGATGTACACTCCACCTTGCACCAAATTTCCATGAAGACCTTTGTGCTTCTTTCTTCCAAACTTGTAGGAGATCCAACCCAGGCTAATTCGTTAAAAAAATTTCTTATTCTTATTCTAGCCAAAGTTTTTACAATAGATTAAGGTCTCCTTTATTAAATGGGATTGGATGGAAGGGTGCCTAAAGGCGGTAGAGTTCAGACTAGGTCTATGGGGTAGGGTTGATAAGGTGAGGGTATAGAATTAAAGGCATTAGTGAAGGTTAAATGATGCAAAATTGCAAATCTCGTCAAGTCATTGGCTAGAAAAGTCTTTATTTTTTAATTTGAAGTACGGATGTTTCTTAAATTATATAACTTGTTAAGTTGGATATGTTGGAATAAAGTACTATAAAGTCAATGGTAGAATAAAGTGCTTTAAAGTCCCCATATAATAAAAAGTTTTAGTAGAATAATAGTATTTTGAGTTCCCATGAGTTAAAGAGATGATGATATAAAGTTCCTATACATGTGAAATTGGTTGCCTCAATGGGGACTTGCAAGTGGGTGTGCGTGTGTGTGTGTATATATATATATATA